ACCTAAATAAATTAGTAGATGGAATTCTTTTTTTAGAAAAATATTTTTACTGATTTTTAGAGAGAGGAAGGGAAAGGGAGAGAGAAACATTGATGCAAGAGAGAGACATCAATCAGCTGCCTCCTTCATGCCCCCTACTGTGGATCAAGCCCATGGCTGGGGCTTGTGCCCTGACAGGAAATCAAACGGCGATCTTTTGGTGCACAGGACAGTATCTGACCAACTGAGCCACATTGGCCAGGGCAGTAGATGGAATTCTTAAGTTCATAAATTAAAGATTTGAACCAGTAAAGGAGAGAGAGCTCTGGGGTGGGCACCAAGGGAAAGGTGATTATTGCAGCAGTATGTAGATCACAGATATATACCCTGTTTCCCCGAAAATAAGATAGTGTCTTATATTAATTTTTACTCCCAAAGATGTGCTAGGTCTTATTTTCAGGGAATGTCTTATTTTTTCATGAAGAAGAATACGGTACATATTTATTGTTAAATGAAAATAAAGGAAATTTACCTGTATACGGTACGGTAGTTGTCAACACAAACCAGACAAACTGTGAATCCTACAGTATCAAGAATTTATTCATTTATTCAATGGCAATCATGTCATCATCTTCTGGAACATCATCATAACAATCCAATTCCTGAATTTCCTGGTGAATTTCTTGTTACTCCATTTCTTTCAGAATCAGTGGACCAAATCTCTCATGTTTAGCAATAGCACTGTCTTTAAATGAGTACTTCTTGTCAAGGTAGCCTGCTCCACAGTGCATTTGCAATGCAACTGTCAGTGATTTTCTCCCATGAATTCTTCACCCAAGTCACAACTTCTTGCAGTTTAGGTTTCACAAAGTTTCCACGCTGATTTCTCTCCATTCTATTTTCAATATAGTCATTAATTTCCATTCACAAATTGTCTTTGAATGGCTTGTTTATTGCAATATCAAGAGTGTGGAGATAGGCCATCATTCCTGCAGGAATCATTATCTGATCTATTTTTCTTTCATGAAGAAATGTCTTCGTGTCTTTAGCGCGGTGAGTGCTGGCTGCATCCCAGACTAGCAGACCTCTTTGGCTCCCTCGCGTAACAAGTGGCAGCATTAAATTGACCCACTTCCTTATAATTGCTTGTATGGCTCAGGCTTTTTCACTTTCAAGAATAAAAATGCCCAAAACACGTTCAATTTTTTCCTTCTTGCAATTAGAAATGATTAAAGATGGGATTTTAGTGCCATCCAGACGAATTGCTAAAATACAGGAAACACGTGCACTTTCGTAAGCAGTGGAGGGAATGTATACTTAGGTGACACCCCCCTGTTCAATTGTTTGAGATGATTGGCCCATAAACACTGCAGTTTCATCCATAGCAATCATGTTGGAGAGATTGTATTTAGAGAAGTCAACATCATCAATAAAGGACTTGAATGCAAGTGCTGGCTTAATAACTTGAGTATCTTCCAACCTAAACAATGTTGTAGCTCTTCTTAAAGACAGTTCACTTTACGAAGGAAATTATCCAGCCAGTGTTGTGATGCTTTGAAGTCTTTGGGGGCTATGTCAAACTGTGGTGCCATTGCAAGGGCAAATTCTTGAATCTGAGCCCTATTCACAACCAAAGCCTTTGCTCTCTTGTCAACAACCCATTCACAGATCAGGTCTTCCAGCTCAGAAAATAATGGTTGCCAACCTGATCCACACTTGCGCTTTTTAGCATTTCCCTTGTCCACTCGTTCAATGAGGTTACCTTACTCTGCTCGCCATTTTCAGACCAATAGGATACTCAACATCTTCTCTTTGCAGAAAGCAGTAAGATTTTGGCCCCAAGAGTCTTCCACGATTCCTTTCTTGTACTCCACGGAGTAGCTTTTTCTTTTTGCGCTCATTTCTAGGGGTAAAAAAAAGGAATTGGGGTATCAGGGTGGGGGGAGGGGAATCACTTAAAATGACACGGGGGATTAGAGGGGGGAATCAAAATGGCACAGGAGAATCAGAGGGGGGATTACCATTTTAGTAACCCCTTTTGATCCTCCTGTGTCATTTTGATTGCCCCCTCTGATCCTCCTGTGTCATTTTAAGGGATCTCCCTCTCCCCTCCCCTGTGCCACTGAACACCTTCACCAGATATCCCCCCTATCTCTTTATCAGACATTTACCCCTGGGGCCTGCCTGGGGACTGTCACTGGGCTTGCTGGGGCCTGAATCTGGGCTGGAGCAGGGTCTGCCACTGACTGAGAACCTTCAGTCATCATGAGGGCGGCCGCGAACATCAGGTAGTGTCACCAGAAACAGAACAGCACTCACCACCTTTGCGGAGTCCAGTCTGCTCTAATCCTCCTGTTCTACAAGCATCTGCGAAAGTCTCCTCCTCTCTCCTGCCCTGCACTCACTGCTCATTCCGACCTCCTTTCTGCCTCCACACAACAGTGATGTCAGGACTCTGTGTAAGGTCACTGGTTGCTAGATGCATCTGGGAGGCCCTAGCGACCAGTTTACGGTAAATTTCATTCTGAGACAGAGCCTGGGGGGGGGGCTTATTTTTAGGGGGGATGCCTTATATTTCACTCAGAAGGAAACCTGTAAGTAGGTCTTATTTTCAGAGGATGTTTCATTTTCGGGGAAACACGGTAGAATTTATGAGCACTATCAGGATGAGGATTTTATTTCCCTGATCCATAGACTACTGCTTTTTCTGCCAACTGGACAATTATATAGGTCTCTGTTTTGTGATTGTATGTTTTTATTTTCCTTAGATTCATCACAGCAGTTACAGCCAGAGTAGGAACACTTTTATTTGTCCCTGCTGTACCTTTAGTAGCTGGTTGTGTAAAATTCAAGTCCCCAATAAAATCCATCAGTGATAATTTTATAACATAATTGGAATGAAAGCCCCAGTGTAAGCCTAAATGGATTATCCTCACGGTTTATGTCTGAGTGAGTCATAAGAACCGCAGGGACAGAACTACTACCCTGTTTCCCCAAAAATAAGACAGTGTCTTATATTATTTTTTTTCTCCCAAAGTTGCGCTAGGTCTTATTTTCAGGGGATGTCTTATCTTTCCATACGCTAGGTCTTATTTTCGGAGAATGTCTTATTTTCAGGGAAACACAGTAGGAGTCTCTCTAACATGAGGAATGAGAATCTTCATTGGAAATCAGTCCTTTGAGGAAAAAAAGTCTGTGAATGACACTTGATCCACTGACAGAGAGAAGTGACTTAAGAATATCTGCATCTTTTTTTTTTTTTTTTTACTGCCCACACTGGTTTCTTTCTGGTTCTGGGAGAGAGCAGCAAGTTAAATAGAAGAATATGTTTGTCAAAAAACCTGTCAGACTCAGGAACTCAGAACAGGTCTGAAACATAAAGTGCCTCAAAGTTGAGAAAGAAGATTCTTCCTGTACTAGTAGAGTACACTCAGCAAGGTTCAGCCACAGTAAAGTGGGGTCAGCAGTCCTGGTGGCGTTGGCACAGTGTGATAGCTTTGGTAGCTGTGCATAGTATTGAAGGCAGCAGCAAAGTGGGAGGGTGCCTCCTTAGCAAGTCCCACCACTTCTGCTGGGTGCCTGGGTAGCAGCAGCATTGGTGGCCTAGCAGAGGGGAGTGGCACAGAGTTGGCTTAGCTGTCAGGTTGCGAAGTTAGCAGACAAAAATAGGCTTTGACCCTTGATCGCAGCCAATGCAGGAGTAGAAAAGATGTTGTAGGCCAGTGGGGCATGCATGGAGGCTGGAATCTTGCTGTCTGCCATTGACTAGCCTTTAAGCCTTGGTTAAGTTACTAATCATTCTGTGTTTTGGTTTTTCTGCTCAGCTCAGTAAATAATAGCTCCTCACAGGGATTTTAGAGATTAAATTAGATTATACACGAAAGCACAGTTCTAAGGGGCAGTAATTGTCAATAGCAAGCACACAATAAGGGTTAGCTAAATTTGTTTCATCATCTATATAACATGTCACACTGGTCTAGTCCAACAGTACCTGGTATTCAGATTCAGTATAATTGCATGAAATACCAACTCAATGGCAGCAAGCCAAAGTCCAAACTAGATGAGAAGGAAACGGAAGGGTAGTGTGTACAGCCTTTGCTGCTCCCATCAGACATTTGCCAGATGCTTTCCATATGCCAGGCACTGTCCTAGGTGATTTAAGACTCTGGAATGCCACCTAAGAATTTAAGAACTGTCACTATGGGTGAGGATATGGGCAGACAGGGAAACAAGATTTACCCCTGTATATTTTTTATGGTTTTTTTTTTGGGGGGGGGGGGCAGTAAGAGGAAAGGTAGGGACTGTATTTGAACTATTCCAAAACCTATTTTTGCTTTTCACACTACATTCAGACAGCTCATGTTCCTTACATCCCTAATGTCTAAAATCATACACAGTGTAAAGACCTTAAGGCGTCCTAGCGGGTTTGGCTCAGTAGAAAGGTGGGGAGAGGGGGGGGGGAAGGTGGGGGAGGAGGGTGGATTAAAGGGTCCCAGATTGGTTCAGGGGAAAAGACACATGTCCCCTGTGCGGGCTCTATCCAGTATGGGGTGAGCAGGAGCAACTGATCAATGATTCTCATTATTGATGTTTCTCTCCTTCCTTTCTCTTTGAAATCAATAAAAATATATTTAAAAATATATATATGTATAAAAAAACAAACAAACCAAACCCACTTTATGGAGCCAAGCACCAGGGGTGGGACCCGCAGGGCCAGGCCAGCGACCAATCCGAGGGACCAACCGCAAGCCGCCACCCCGCACTACCCGGGGAGGCGGGCTCTCCCCGGAATCTCCGAGGCCCAGCCACCCGCCACGTGACCCCAGGCCTCCCGCCCGCGCTCTCGCCGCCGGAGCCACGTTGACTGGGCTCCGGGTCCCCAGAAAGGGGCGTGGCGAAGGCCCTTGCGCGGTGCGTGCCCCGCCCCTCCCGCCCGGAGCCCGGATGAAGAGTAACGCCATTTTCGCCGGAGCCGCCGAGAGCTGTCGCGGACGGCGACAGGACACCGGACGGGCCACGCCATGAGGCTCCTCCCCCGCCTGCTTCTGCTTCTCTTGCTCGTGTTCCCCGCCACCCTCTTGCTCCGAGGCGGCCCTGGAGGTGAGGCGAGGGGAGTGGACGGCGGGGCTCGGCGTGAAGGGGACGCCAGGGGCTGCAAGTTTAAAGCTGGAGGCTTTGGCGGCGGCGGCTCCTGGGTCGGGCGTCCAGCCGCCGGCCTCCCTCCACCTGGTTCTCGGCCCACAACTCGTCGTAGGGGCTGCAAGGCGTGGGGGGCCGTCTCCGGTGGGGCCTCTGCCGCCTCCACGCGGAGCGCGGGGCAGTACCGGGCGGCCGCGCGGGGCGCCGCCGAGGGCTGGGCTCGCCTCCCGGACCCGCGCCCGCTGCGGTGGCCGGAGCCGCGGTGGCCGGAGCCGGCGGGCCTGGGCCGGAGGGGGCGGAGGGGCCGCGGCCGGCCAGCCGGGAGCTCGCAGCCCCGAGGCCGGGCTCCTGGCCGCCCGCGGCGCCGCTCCGCCCCCGCCCCCACCCCGGCTCTGGGCTGACGTGTCTTTCGTTTCCACGCTCGGCGTCCGCCTTCATTCATTTGCCGAAGCCTCTGTTACCTAAACTCGCCGAGCGCCTTGTACGTTCCCGGCCGTCACCCCTTCACCAGCCCCTGGCCCCGCGCGGTGCCGGGAGAATTGATTTCAGAAAAGCTCCCCATTCTCACCCCCTTGGCCCAGCCCTAGACTCCCGGGCGGACTAAGGATCTGTGGGATGTCTAGTGCTTAGGCCCTTTTCCCCCCTCTCCTTTCTTTTCTTTTCTTTTCTTTTTTTTTTTTTTTTTTTTTTTTTTGGTAACCATTTTTTGTTTCTTGGAGCTGTGTCCTGGAAAAAATACAGTTTAATTCGAGTTTTGCAATTTTTTTTATTCGGGTTTGTTCATTCCTCCCAACGGTTAAGCTGGTGTGAAAATAACCTATCTGCACAGCAGGGCGTTTAACATGTGTAGACTTGGCTTCTTGCCCTGATTCTATCATGAACTTCGATTTTTTTTTTCTAATCTGTAAAATGTAGTCTGCTAAATGATCGCTAGAATTGTTTTGATTCCATAAGTTGAAGCAAGCTGTGAGGCAAAATGAATGATAGTGACAGGTATCCACAAGTTGTTTTCCAGATAAAAACGAAGTGACTAATTTCTATTTAGTGGATGGAAACCAAGTATGAAAAGCAAAACTGTCAGTGAATTCATTTGCAGGTGGAGGGATTCTTTTCCTTTACCATTTGCTTGCTGATCTCCCTCCCTCCCCCTCCTCCTCCTCCTCACCCCCCTCCTCCCTCACCCCCCTTCTCTCTCTCTCTCTCTCTCTCCCTCTCTCTCTCTCTCTCTCTCTCTCTCTCTCTCTCTCTCTCTCTCTCTCTCTCTCTCTCTCGTGGCCAATTCTACTTACTATATTTTTTCAGGGTTTAAACTTTTTTTTTTAAAGGAAACATCAGTATCTAAACTGAACTGGGTATCTTTAAATACTTTTTGTGAATAATGGTCTTTCATTCAAAAGATGTTTTAAATTTTTCCAACTGAAAACTGTTAGATTTTATAGGCATAAAAATGTTACTGGTAACATTAAAATCCTATATAATAAAGAGCTAATATGCTAATTAGACCGAATGGCGGAAAAACCTTCCCAAACAACCTTCCAGAAGGACCAGTGGGCAGAGCTGAGAGGCAGCTGAGGCCTGAGGGGCTGAGCCCCTTACACGAATTTTGTGGTTCGGGCCTCTAGTACTTTAATATCCACTGAAATGTAGGGTAAACAGTTGTTATGTCTCAATCCTGAGTTTAAGTACGACGTTATTATGTCAGACCTAGATATTTTTCTTACTAGTTTTTCATTTCTTTAGGTTGGTTGGTTGTTGTTTTTTTTTTTTTTTTTTGTTTTGTTTTTTTGAGGGGAGGGTCTGTTTTTTAACTAGTTTTTAAAAATGACTTATTTAGGAAGAATAACTGAAAAGATTTAAAATACATGGTCCCGTACGTGTGCTGTTTTTCCTGGTTATTGCAGCATCTGCACATGCTTCCTTTCCCACATGTTTTTCCCTTTCCTGAACTGCCACATCATCATTCTTTCTGAGAAATGTTGGAAGAGTCGCTACAACTTTGAAATTTCTTTTGAGGATCTTACCTAAATAGATTTAATGTGACTTATTTAGAATACTTTTGCATTTAAAAATATGTGATTTATACTTTCCTGGCATTATAGTTATGCTTGTCTTTTATTTTCATATTAAGTGTAGAGGAAATAAAAAAGTATATTAAAACATGTTTGAAGCCATCCGCAAAAATAAGTGCATGCTTTCTCTGCTCTCAACCCTGAAGTTAACAATATATGTTTTTTTACTAAACAGTGTGTTTTATACCAGCTAGTTTTATGTGAATGCCATGTAGATCTTAGTTCCTTGGAATTGCATGCTATCAAGTTCTAAGAGCTTTAATCAACTCTAATAATAATGTTTCTTGCCTAGGTATTTAGATTGCTGTTTTTCTTTAGCCGTGAGTATTTTTGTTTTATTTTGTGTGGATAATGACAGATTAAATTTTGGAATTTCTTTTATAACACTTATTTTCCTTCATTTGCTTGACAAAATTGCTTGAAGTCCTTTACTTGAACTTTAAGGCGTATTTAATTTTAGGAGTTCATTTTTTCAAGTGTTAGGTGCTTTTTAAAATTAAGCAGCATTTACCATTAAAATTAGCATGCAGTTGTTAAAACTACTAAGATAAAATCATATGAATATTTTTAAAAATTGATTTTAGAGAGGAAGAGAGAAACATCAATGCTGAGAGAAAATTATCTATCGGCTGCCTCCTGCACTCCCCTCACTGGGGATCAAGCCTGCAACCCCAGCATGTGCCCTTGACTGGAATCAAACCCAGGACCCTTCAGTCTACAGGCCGACGCTTTGTCCACTGAGCCAAACAGGCTAGGGCCGAATATTCTTATATGCATTGTAATCTGGCATCATTCAAGTACACTTCATGATTGAACAGCTCCAAGGGGAAATTTTTGTTCATTATTCTTGAGATGAAAAAACATTAGTATTCTAGGGTAGGTAATTGCTTGTTTTATATTTTATTGTTAGGCTCAGTAGCAGTAGCTCAAGATCTTACAGAAGATGAAGAAACAGTGGAAGATTCAATAATTGAAGATGAAGATGATGAAGCAGAGGTGGAAGAAGATGAACCCACAGATTTGGTAAGTGTGACATATGATTTAATGTATATACTGTATATACCTAGAATTTATGCTTTTTATAGATAAATTTGCTTTTAAAATTTTTTATTTTAGAGGCTTGTTTCTGTGTTTGGTGTAGATTGAAGTTGGGATAATAGGAGCCAGTCATTGGGGATGGACCATTAGTATTTTCTGGAATGGGGAGGGAGATCATATGGACATAACTCTGTTAAGGTAACAAGATAGTGGACCATTTGTTGATTTGGGATACATACTACTTAGCTTTCTGATCTTGGATAACTTGTCTCTCTGAGTCTCAGTTTTCTTTTCCCTTCAACAAGCAAATATTTATTTATGTGCCCTGCTATGTGCCAGGTTTTGTTTTGGATACTGGGGTGAACAAACCAAGTGTCTTCTTTGCTATCATGTAGCTCAGGTTCTTGGAGTTGTCCAGGGATAAGGAGCAAATAATAAACTATATACAATATGTTCTGTGAGAATAAAGGACTTAGAGAAGATCTCTAGACACTTTTATTATAACAGTATAGTATGACAGTAAGAATATTGGGCTAGAATAAGGATTATTGCAGCATGCTTCTAGCTAATTTCATTTCCTTTCTTGGACTACTGTAATATATGCCACACTTTTTTTCCCCCTTTCTCTTCATTATGCCATACTTGAACCCAAAAACTTGTGATTCTACATTTTGTGATTTTTTTTTTTTTCAGAATCAAACCAAGTCCCTATTTTTCTATTATGTCAACATCAAAATAATTGGCCTTGTATATAGATACTGCTCCTTTTTTTGTCCTCATTTTTATGGAGTATGCTTTCCAACTAAACTAATCTGATTGCTATTTTGTTGATGTTTAAATGACCATTTCTATGCATTTGCACATCCTGTTTCACTTGAATAGAATACCCCTACTAATTTTTGTGCTTTTCTAATTCCCTCTCCTTTAATAAAACTGCCTTTACTGATTATCATGTGTCAAGCTTTTCACATGTATACAAATCCATATGTTAAGGGTTTATATTAGGGCTCTGCATCTTCATTCGATGCATTACTTTTTTTAAAATATATTTTATTGATTTTTTACAGAGAGGAAGAAAGAGGGATAGAGAGTTAGAAACATCGATGAGAGAGAATCATCGACCAGCTGCCTCTTGCATACCCCCTACTGGGGATGTGCTCGCAACTAAGGTACATGCCCTTGACTGGAATCGAACCTGGGACTTTTCAGTCCGCAGGCCGATGCTCTATTCACTGAGCCAAACCAGTTTCGGCCAATGCATTACTTTAACTAAATAAATTCATTCCTCCATCAATAATGGTAACAAAAACTTCACTCTTCTAAAAGTGCTGCTCTAGTAAGATAACTTGGAATGAACAGTTGAAGGGAATCCATCCAGAAAATGAGGATTAAAGATGGTATTTAGGGCTCTGAAGTGTGGGTATGCACAGAACTTTAGTGATAGATTATAATAGAAGCATAATATGCTAATTAGACCGGATGACTTTCCTGAGGAAGCCTGGGCCCCGTGTGCCAGAGGGAAGCTGGTGCCCGCAGCAGGGAAAGGAAGGCCTACTCTTGCACGAATTTTGTGCATCATGCTTCTAGTATTATTATAATCACTTTTCTGAAGTTACTTCATATCTTTAGCACTGGAATGTATTTATTGTGGAAGAAAGAGTAGCAAAGGAAACTGTTTGATTTTTGTTATAGTTACAGTTTAGCCAGAACTTTTCTATCTCTTGATCATTTCCCTTGCCTTGAGTATTATAATTTTCTTTACCAGCATCTTCTTGAAACAGTAAACTAGACAGTTTTTCTGTTATGTTCTGTTAATCAGGATGGAAGTCTTTGTAGGCTAATAAATGTTCTAGAACAGGCTCAGCAAAATGTGGCTGCCCCCCAGGTCCATCTTTGCCCATCTTTTGTGTGTTGTCTGTGTCTGCTTTTACAGGGTAGCCACATAGAAAGCAGCCACAGAATTGAGTAGTTGCAATAAGGACCTTATAATTTTCAAAACCAAAAATATTTTATATCTGATCCTTTATAGAAAAAGTTTACCAGCCCACGTTCCAGAACTTTGCAATTCAAAGTGTGGTTTGAGTATCAGCAATATCGGCATTTCCTGAGTGCTTGTTAGAAATAGAATTTTAAGCTTCACTCGAGACCTGAATTAGATCCGCAAAATGCCAGGGGATTTGGTATGCACATTTCTGTTCAAGATACACTGTCTAGAATTTTTTATTTGAACTGATGAGATACAATATAATTCATACCACTGCTAATCCCAACAAAGCCTTGGAGAGGCAATATTTTGTCCCAAATCTTAGTGAAGTCATTTTTATATGGTAGTACTTTTCCCTGTAGTAATCCCTTTTTAATATTGTTTTTCTTAGGCAGAAGATAAAGAAGAAGAAGATGTATCTGGTGAACCTGAAGCTTCACCAAGTGCAGATACAACTATCCTATTTGTAAAAGGAGAAGGTAATAGAGAAATACTAGTTTTGACTCAGATGTAGAAATTTTTTAAATAACAAGGTCACTTTTTGGGGAAGTGTTAGTAATGCTTAAGATGCATCTTCCTTTCTTACAAGTGTAAATATACATTTTGAAAAAACCCCTCATATTACATGTATGAATACCCATGTGTGTAAGGTACTATTCCTGGCATTTAAATTAAGGGGGAAAAGAAAAACTATCCATTTTAACTAGAAATTAAAAGTTCCTTTGAAAGAAACTGTTTAAACTCTTTTCAAACTACCACAATGAAGTAACTTGTATTTTGAAGTTACTTCATTATGAAGAAACAGTGAAATATTAAATCTTTACAATTAGGCCTTGGTTGGAGCCTAGATTACATTAAAGAAAGTAAATAATGGCTTATATTTAATGAAGGCCATGGCAAGCATTGTTCTCAGTGTCTTTCATGTATTACTAAATTCTTACAGAAATCCTCTTAGGTTAGTTACTATTGCTAAACTGAGATTTAGAGAGGTTGACAATTTGTCCAATGTTACCCAGTTATAATAGAGTGTGGAGACAGGGTTTAGAACCAGATCAGTCTGATTCCAAAGCTTGTGCTGTACTGGATGAAACTCAGCTCTGTAGACTACAGTATAATTATTGAGTTATTATTTTGAAGTTATTTTCTCAGTCATCTCAAGCTATTTTATTCCCATGTATTTTCTAATCTTATGCCTAAAAAATGTCTAGTTAGATTAAGCGATCCCTCCCCAATTTATTATGTCATTCATCTTTCTATTGTTTGCATAGATATAGATACTGAGTTGTGGGCTAGGGGTGACTTTATAAAGACAGATTGTCTCACTGCAAAATAATCTTACTAAAAATACATGACTCTTTCTTAGACCACATAATTTGGATGTGATCTGGTCTGAAATTGTAGTACTCAGTTCAGCTCTTAAATTGGAATGCTAGAGTATAGACAGCTGAAGTATATATACCAGTTATTAGTTAGGGGATGACTGGAATGCTCTATTGAAAGGGATTCTTAAACTAAGTCTATATGTATTGGGAAAGAGTGCCAAAATCCATGAGTAATGTCATACTTTTTATTTTATGCCCTTTAAGCATGTTCTAATCTTGTCTCTCTCTCTCTCTTTTTTTAGATTTTCCAGCAAACAACATTGTGAAATTCTTGGTAGGCTTTACAAACAAGGGCACAGAAGATTTTATTGTTGAATCCCTAGATGCCTCATTCCGTTATCCACAGGACTACCAGTTTTATATCCAGAATTTCACAGCTCTTCCTCTGAACACTGTAGTCCCACCCCAGAGACAGGCAACTTTTGAATACTCCTTCATTCCTGCAGAGCCCATGGGTGGACGACCCTTCGGTCTAGTCATCAATCTGAACTACAAAGATTTGAACGTAAGGCCCTCTAAACTTTTTTTTTTAGTTAGAGATGGGTGAGGACAATTGACATTTGAATATTCTTGTGTTTACTCATTTATGTGCCTGTTTTGTGGTTAAAACTCCTAGGAGGCAGAGATAAATTGCATGTCTCTGTCTTTAAGTCTATAATCCACTAGGGGAGATGGATATAAGCAGGCTAGCTCACAGCATAAGTGATACATTCTAGAGATAAGTATGGGGTGCTAGAGCAGTGGTTCTCAACCCTTCTAATGCCGCGACCCTTTAATACAGCTCCTCATGTTGTGGTGACCCCCAACCATAAAATTATTTTCGTTGCTCCTTCGTAACTGTAATTTTGCTACTGTTATGCAACGAAAATAATTTTATGGTTGGGGGTCACCACAACATGAGGAGCTGTATTAAAGGGTTGCGGCATTAGAAGGGTTGAGAACCATTGTGCTCAAGTATTAGTGGAAGTGACTTGATCTTAAAAGGAAAGTTAGCCACAGTGGAATCTGCTATTTTTAACATAGTTTTAGCGGTAAGGTTTATGGTTTATAAGATCCAAGTAGCCTAAAGAAGCTCTGCTGTCTTCTGGTTTTTAATGTGGTGTGATATATAGCCAATGAATGAATAAGAGAAAACTATCACAATTGTACTACTGGGAGTTCACCTCTAGATGCCAACTATTATGTCCACCTTCAGTTAAGAGCACATCTAAACCCATTTCCTTCTCAAAAACTTTTCAGTGAAGGAAATTTTATCCATTTTGGAAGCTTGGTCAACCTTTCATTATTGTAGTGTCAACATGGTGCTGCAATTAAATTTTTTAAAAAAATTTCTTAGTAGAGAGTAGAAAATTTTTCTTTTTTCCTTCAAAATAACATATGCTTTCTCAACTTTAAAGTTAAGTGACTTGAAGAATTATATATTTCAAACAGAAAACTATCAGGCCTATATAGTTTCAGTTCCATTTTAAATATTAGTTTCATCAGTATTCTGATTCTTGGAATTGTCAACAGAATGCCAATTGCAAGATCTTGAAGTAAAACTTTTATAATTACAGTTTAGTAATAAGTAACACTTTTTAAGTACTACTTTTGTGCAAAGAATCAAACACAATGATTTTGATGTATTTGAAAACTGAAATTGTGTTGAACTGATAAAATTGTTTCAAGATCACAACAGAAAAATATTTTTTACAATAAAAATCACCCATTTATTATAAATTTATTTCCAACCTATTATTAATTTAGAACATGAATTTGACTTGTTCAAGTGTAATTTTTTGTTCTGTTAATCTTCATTGGAGGATAGTTTTTCCATTGATTTTTTTTTTTGTTTTTGTTTTTTAATAGAGTTCAGGGGAAGGAGCAAAGGGGAAAGAGAAAAACATTGATATGAGAGAGACACCTTGAGGGTTGCTTCCCAAATGCACCCCGACTGGGGCTGGGGATTGAACCAGCAACCCAGGTATCTGCCCTTGACAGGAATTGAACCCAAGATACTTTGGTGCATAGGCTGATACTAACCATTGAGCAACACCAGCCAGAGATCAAATCTAGTTCTTAAAATGATCTGTTATTCTTTAAATATTCATGCTCTGTTTTTCTTGTTTGGAAGGTTACAGCAAGAGAACATAGGGCTTTTTATAAATGTGTTCTGTGGGCTTTGTTTCTTTATGCACATTTTATCTTGTTTTTGTTTTACTTTCCTTGTTCCTCAACTTCCTTTCCCTCCAACCCAAAAGAAAGTGGGGGACAACTTTGGCGAAATTGGAAGCATTTTTTATTTCTTAGGAGAAAATAACAAACATTATAATGTTGAATCCCTGGTACCGAGTTAGTGCCATTAGGCATGACTGAATCTTGTCTTCTAAGTAATAAGAAAGCTATTGTATATTTCTTAGAATAATGGTTTTTAAGAATTCTTATAGGCTTTCCTTTTATCAATGCCATTTCAGTTTGGGGTAATTTTTCTTTTTCTTTTTTATAAACAGGGCAATGTATTTCAAGATGCTGTCTTCAATCAAACAGTTACAATTATTGAAAGAGAGGATGGCTTAGATGGAGAAACGTAAGTGGAAGTTGAAATATGTACATCTTGATCTTGTTAAGTAGGGCTAAAAGGCCTTGTTCTTATCATTTTTATTAAATGATGGAAATGAAATGGATTGTAGACTTGATGAAATCCTAATTATGTAAATTCATACTTTAGGTATTCAAATCAAGCTAGGAAAGATAGTTGAAATTGACAAAAATTTGTTTTAAAAAGATAGCTTTAGCTTTCCATCCTTCCCCTGTTTTAAAATCTTTTGTACTCAATGCTCTTAAACTGATAGCAGCCTAATATAAGTTGCATGCCTCTAAAATTGCTATTGAAAATGTAAATCATAATATTTTATCTTGAAAAATGTGTTTTTTATAAATGATAAATTACTTCTTACTAAATACTTAGATGGAATTCGCCAAAAGTAATTTTTAAATCAAACTGCAAAATCTAATATTTGAGAGAGATAAGCTTAATATATTACAAAACAATTTTATTAATTAGGGATCAGATAATTGCTTTTTTAAATGGTTAGAAATAAAGTAAGAAATTTATAAGACTTATTACCTGGGTCTAAATTGAATTAACATATTTAATTCCTTTTATCAGTAAGTTATTTGGAAAGCTTATCTAGTGTTAACATTATACACAGTGGGGCAAAAGTAGGTTTACAGTTGTTTGTATGTAAAATAATACAAAGGTTAATAAATTATAATGCAAGAATAAACTTGCATCTACTCCAACTGCAAACCTACTTTTTCCACACCCTGTAGATGTAATTAGCTTGATGTTTTTAATAAGTTAAACAAGAATTAATAGTTTTAATAAGCTGTGATAGTGCCTATGAATTAAGCCAGTTTATTTTTTTCCCTTTTATATTAGAATCTTTATGTATATGTTCCTTGCTGGTCTTGGGCTCTTGGTTGTTGTTGGCCTTCATCAACTCCTGGAATCTAGAAAGGTAATTATAGGTGTACTTCAGAAGTTGTTCCAGTACTACATTAAGTTCAATCCAGTGACGACTTGTTTTTACTATGAGTTTGTATATTTACAGGTTTGTTGTACCTTTTACTTTATTTATTTACTCTATCCACTGAGCCAAACGAGCTAGGGCCACTTATTTCTTAAACTGAGACATAAGCTTTCATTTTTTCTGTTCATTACACTTTTTCATCAGTATGTTATTTTATCTGTAAGCGTAGAAACTTTTATATTTGCTTCAGTACTCTTTTTTAAAAAAATACATTTTATTGATTTTTTTACAGAAAGGAAGGGAGAGAGAAATAAGAGAGTTAGAAACATTGATGAGAGAGAAACATCAATCAGCTGCCTCCTGCACAACCCCTACTGGGGATGTGCCTGCAACCAAGGTACATGCTCTTGACTGGAATCGAACCTGGGACCTTTCAGTCTGCAGGTCGATGCTCTATCCACTGAGCCAAACTGGTTAGGGCATGCTTCAGTACTCTTAACTGTAAAGATAATCCCTAATTATCAATTAAATGTGTTTTTTCATTTGAAAAATAATGAATTGGATTGTATTCTATCAGTCTAACTTCTGTTTTCTTGTTTGGGTAGTAAAGTGGTGACACTGAGCACATACTGTATTCGTGGTTTCTCTCTCTGGACATAGTAGCTAATTCCACCATTGTCCTCATCTCACTCTGCTTCCTAACCCTGTAAAACAAAACAAAAAGCTCATATTCCTCTCATGAGAAAGTATAACATGATTTGTGTCAAATACATTACTATCCATTAGACCCTTGTATTAAAACTAGGGGCCCAGTGCACGAATTCATGCACCTTGAAAAGGAACTGTGGGTTGTGAGGCTGCTGTGGGCACAGGGGCGGGTCTCAGCCATCCTCCGTACCCCTGCTTGGACCCTCCTGCCGTGGCCCCCAGTCCCCTCGCTGCTGGCAGTCCTCCTCCCGCCACCACTGCTCCCACGCACTGATGGTGCCAGCCCCGCTTGCACCCACTGATGGCGTGGAGCAAGTGGGGCTGGCGCCATCAGAGGTGAGTAGTGGCTGCTGCCCTGATTGCTCCTTAGGAGCAGGAGGAGGTGGAGAAGCCCTTGGGTGATTGGAGACAGCAGCTGCCACTTGCACCCACTGATGGTGCAGAGCGATCGGGACTGGTGCTGGATGCTGGTAGCAGATTCAGGCAGTAGCTCCAGTACGGGCAGTGGGTGCAAGCACCAGGCAGGACCGCAGCACGCAGGAGCAAAGAATTTTCAGTAACCATCAGAGGCTCACCCTGATAACAGCGACTGGCACCCCTGCTCACCTACTCTACCTTCCTGCCATGGCCAATGCCTGCCACGTACTGCACTCTGCTACCTGCTGCCAAAGCTCGCCATGTTCCATGCGCACTCCCTGTGGGTCAGCACACATCATAGCAACCGGTTGTTTGGTTGTTGCACCATTCATTCTATTCGCATATTAGGGAGTGTGTGTGTGTGTGTCTGTGTGTGTGTGTCTGTGTGTGTGTATATGCGTGCGCGCACGCGCGCGCGTGTATGTGCAATACGTGTTACTAATAAGCACTTGCTCTTTAAAAGAGAAGTACTTAGTGCTTAAATGTTAATTTCAATAACTTTCTTTGCCTCATTTTCATAATAGAGTTTTTTATATAAACATATATATTAGATACAATGGCATCTCTAATTTTTCCCATTTGAAGAAGCCATTTTTTTTAATTGGCTGTGGTTACCTTTCTGTGTATTCAAAATCTAATTTTTAGACTGTATATTTAATGTTCTTTTAGGTAAATAGGGATTTTGGGGGTATTTTTAAGAGCAGGGCTAACCAGAATTGAATTACTTTCTAACTTTTTAGTAGTTTCGCTGCAGAAACTCTAGGAACAAAGTTTTTGGTTGTTAGCTTAAGTGAGATTTATGTTTTTGTTTTATCTATGCCAACTGTTTTAAGTGTGTTTAACTAACAATGTAGGAACCTGCCTGAATGCATCCTTTCAGTGATTTATCCTGAATTTTGTTGAATTTGGAAATAAATTTATTCTTTAACATTTAATATTCAAAAGGAAAGAAAATCATTGTATAAGTAAGTCTTGAATAACACATGAAGCTTTATAGCATAGGAAAATATCTTTAAAGCCTGAAAATAAATCATTGTTTGAAGATTTATTCCTTTATTATTTATTTTTTATAATTGGTGCTAGACATGTTTTTCCCTCTCTGATTAATAAAAACTTGAATAGGAGTAGGTTTTAAAACTAGAAGAGAACATATTTCTTAAGATATTTAAGTAGCTTGATAGGTCTCTTTAAAGTTAGAGTAAACAGTATAATGAAACTCCTTTACAGCACTGTTTTTTTGTTCTAGCGCAAGAGACCTGTACAGAAAGTAGAGATGGGTACAACAAGTCAGAATGACGTTGACATGAGTTGGATTCCTCAGGAAACTTTGAATCAGATCAGTAAGTACTCTTACTAACGTGAATGGGAACTTTTTCTCTTAAATGGAAATTAAATATTTTATTTTATTTATTTATTTTTTAAAATATATTTTATTGATTTTGTACAGAGAGGAAGGGAGAGAGATAGAGAGCTAGAAACATCGATGAGAGAGAGTCATCGATCAGCTGCCTCCTGCACACCCCCTACTGGGGATATGCCCGCAACCAAGATACATGCCCTTGACTGGAATCGAACCCGGGTCCCTTCAGTCCCCAAGCCGACGCTCTATCCATTGAGCCAAACCGGTTCCGGCGGAAATGAAATATTTTAGATTTCTCACAAGTGCTTGGTCAGTGCTAATTAACAATTGTCTTTTCCAGTACTTGTATAGAATTTAGTATATGTTTAATGAATGCTTTAAAATTTTATTCTGTGTAGTTCTTAATTTAGAAATGCTTCCAAATCTGCATTACAAATTATAAATGTGTAATTCTCTATATTTCTAATCTTTTTCATGTCTCTTTTCTTTCCTATTGCTTCAGTGCAAAGTAGAAGAGGTGAGGTGAATAATTTTTAATGGTGTTTGCTATGTTTTGGTGGGGGGTCCACTTTGCAATAAGCTTAATGAGTAATGAAACAAACAGTTTCTTAGCACTAAATTTGTTGGAAGAACTGCTAACTACTACTACCCAGAATAGTTTGAAAAAAATAAAACTAAAATACTGCATGATAGTTTCCCTAACAGATATATTTCAGTTTTATTATTACATATGCAGTTATTTAGAATATTAATTTTTATAAAAGAACATAGAAGTAATAGGGCCCATGAGGCATGGCTCAGTAGTTAACTATGAACTAGGAGGTTACAGTTCGATTCCCTGTTAGGACACATGTCCAGGTTGTGGGCTTAATCCTCAATATGTGTGTAGGAGGTAACCAATCAACGATTCTTTCTTATCATTGATGTTTCTATCTCTCTTCCTCTCTCTCTTCCTCTCAATACAAACACATGTAAAAATGTCAATAAAAATAGGTTTTTAAAAACAGTAATAGGGTCTTGTAAAAAATAAATAATATGGAAGTGAAAAGTTGATACCACCTGGACCCACTGATCCCTTTTTTCTTAAGTATTATAATTGGCACTTACATGTTATTTTAAGTATTTTCTATACATATATCAACATATATGTCTGTGGACTGTTGGTTTTGTACAAATGGCATTATATTGCACACACTGTTAGACAATCTGAGTTTTCATGCTTTGGGTATTTTTTTTTAAATATATATATTTTTACTGATTTCAGAGAGGAAGGGAGAGGAAGAGAGAGAGAGATAAAAACACCAATGATGAGAGAATTGTTGATCAGCTATCTCCTGCATGCTTCATACCAGGGATCAGGCCCGAAAACTGGGACATGTGCCCTGACTGGGAATTGAACTGTGACCTCCTGGTTCATAGGATGATGCTCAATCACTGAGCTACACTGGTCAGGCTGGAAGGTTGTACTTTTTAACACCCTTCACCCAATCCTCCCACTCCCCACAGGGATAATTACTTAAAAGTAGAAAAGTTAGGTCTAAAATTATGTGCATTTTAATTTTTAAGGGACATATCTCACTTCCTTACCAAAACATAATGCCAATTTATATTCTCGCCATTGTGCTATAGTGTGTGCTTTTCCTCACTTATCATTTTCAAGTGTGTTAATTGTGAAACAGTATCTTTTTTTTATTGCAATTAAGAATGAGGTTTAGCTTCTTTACACATATTTATTTACCACTTAGTATTTCTTTTCCTGTGAATTGACTGTTCAAGTTCTTTCTTGGTTTATAGATTATTTTGTTTACAAATTGAATTGTTTTCCTAATTATTTGTATATTATTCAGTGAGCTTTCTATTGAAATAATGACAACATGGTAGTTGCTTTACTTAAAAATGGGTATGAAGTAATAGGAGCACAGGAGGGTCTTCCAGTAGGAGAGTGGGAAAATCATTCACAGAAAGGGTTGACATTTGACTAGAGTTTTGAAAAGTTGGGTGAGAAGATGTCTTCAAGGTTTTATGTGTTATGCTAAGGACTTTTGACTTTTCTTTCTAAGTAAAAAATAGCCATCAGCTGAAACCCGTTTGGCTCAGTGGATAGAATGTTGGCCTGTGGACTGAAGGGTCCCGGGTTCGATTCCGGTCAAGGGCATGTACCTTGGTTGTGGGCACATCCCCAGTAGGGGGTGTGCAAGAGGCAGCTGATTGATGGTTCTCTCTCATTGATGTTCTAACTATCTCTCTCTCTTCCTCTCTGTAAATAATAATTAAAAATACATTTAAAAAAATAGCCATCAGATATTTTAAAGCTGAGAAATAAAAAATTTGTCTTAAAAGAAAATGATAGTTTTATGGAGGATAGCTAGCAAGCAGAAGTTATTAGAGGATAATTTTTTTTTTTAAGTAAGAAATCAATAGGGCCTACGCTAAGGTAGTTAGTGATGGGATTAAAAGTGAGTAGAAAGATATTTCAGAAGTGGAGCAGACCTGGCTTTTGGTGACTGTTTGGATGTCTAAGGGAGGAGGCATGAAAGCGTACTCTTAGCTTAGGCAGCTGGGTGGAAGATGATCCAGTCCACAGGAAAAGGGGAACACTAATGCATGGGGAGAGATGAATTTGGATTAGATCTGTTGAATGTAAAGAGCCCATGGAACTCTCAATATAACATACTTTGCAATTAGAGATATGATATCTTCTAGCTATCATCTGTATATATAAAAGGCTAATATGCAAAGTGTCCCCTTGGGAGTTTGACTGGCAGTTCATGAGTTTGATTGCTTTCTATGATGTTTTTAAGAGTTTGAGCCAAACTGGACAGTATGCCAGGAAGGAAGATCTAAGTGCTCCCAGAATATACAGTTTTCAGTTTCCCTTACACATTTCAAATTAAGGAGGGAGCATAGGAAGATTATTTGAACATGGGAGAAAGCAAGGCAGGGAAATCTCTCTGATTTGATTACAGGGTAGGTAATAAGATGATGTGCTATTTTGAGTGTGGTTACACTCCTAAGGAGTCTGAAAAGGGGGCATTTCAAACGTGCACCAAAAAAACCAAAAATGGATAGGGCTTATTTAAGGCAAAGATAATCTTTTACCAGGGAAGTTATAGGCTTGAGGCAGGACCTTCCCGGTTAGAAATTTATGATCAGATCATCCTGTAAGGTTACTTGGGGTTAGATTTATTACAGAGCCCCTTTTTTGTCCAACATACAGTACCTCTAAAATACTTAATTTTGCAAAGAAATGTTATTTTTCTGTTAGAAACAACTGTTTTATTTAAATTTTTGTTTTAATATATGTAATAACCAGTCCATATTGAAATTTCTTAAATTGTCTCAAAATATCCCTTATAACTTTTTTTTTTTTTCAATGTTGGATGATACATTGTATCTGGTCGATATATCCCTTGAGTCCCTTTTAATTTACAGCAGTTCAAGAGATTGGCCACTTGCCTTGTAGAACATTGCATACAAATCACTTGAAAATCTTGTTATGATTCAGGTTTGGATTCAGCTGCTCTAGAGTGAGGCTGAAGTATTGGTGTTTCTAACAAACTTCCACGTGACCCATTGATTACATTCATCCTATATAATAAAGGCCTAATATGCTAAGTGGCCGGATGACCCAGTTGGCTGGTCGGCTGTTCAATCAAAATGTAATATGCTAAAACCACTCAATCACTTGCTATGATGTGCACTGACCACCAAGGGGCAGGCACTCCGACAGGCACTGTGACAGGTGGGATCCGGACGAGTGGGACTGAATGAGACGGGTCAGACATGGTCCCTCTCCAGCTGGCCAACCTCCCGCATCCCTCCCCAGCTCCGATTGTGTACTGGTAGGGTCCCTCACCCTGGTCTGAGCACTCTCACATTCGTCGCTGTGACACGCACTGACCATCAGGGGCAGATGCACAACGCAGGAGCTGCCCTCTGGTGGTGAGTGCACTCCCACAGGGGGAGCACTGCTCAGCCAGAAGCTGGGCTCACAGCTGGCAAGCACAGTGGCATTGGCGGGAGCCTCTCCTGTCTCCATAGCAGTCAGACATCCCCCAAGGGCTCCCAGACTTCGAGAGAGCACAGGCTGGAATGAGGGGACCCCTCTCCTCCTACCCAGTGCACAGATTTTGTGCACCAGGCCTCTAGTTGAGTAATAAGGCTCTAAAAAGGCCCATCCTCCAGATTTGCCAGGTTGTTTTTTTTTTCCTGGTGTCTTGATCTAAACTTTATTAAATCTGGAAGATTAGACTTGGTTAGACTTAAGTTGGTCTTTCTGGCTAATAGCATACTAAAGCGATTTTCACCTTTTTTCATTTCATGACACAGATAAACTAATTAATTAAAAAACTTCTGAGACATACCAAAAAATACTTTTTGCTTATCTGACAAAATACATAGGTATAATTTTGATTCATTCCCACTGGTGGCAGTTGTTGTGTTGGCTGTTGTCATTTGTTTATTTGATAGACTAAGGGAAAAGAGGTCAGTGCCCCTGACTAAGTAGTCAGGTATTGCATGTTTTAAAAATTGCATCACTCCAGTTGAAAATCATTGGCATACATCATAACTCATGAGTACTTCTGCATCACATCAAGTAACATGTACCATCATTAGTGATGATAACTTGAGCAGTAAATTAGGGTGAAGGTGAGGTTTTTCTTGCTTTCAGCCTTGATGTTATTGTGGGGTGTCACTTTGGCATCACACAGATTTCCAATTCTCTAAATATTCACCAGTTGATAATCCTCTCATGAATCAATGTGCCAGAGGTGGTTATAATTTTCAATGGAAATTTCTTTGTCTTTTTACTTACTATCATTCATATATATATATATATATATATATATATATATATATATATATATTATTGATTTTATACAGAGAGGAAGGGAGATAGAGAGCCAGAAACGTCGATGAGCGAGAAACATCGACCAGCTGCCTCCTGCACACCTCCTACCGGGGATATGCCCGCAACCAATGTACATGCCCTTGACCGGAATCGAACCCGGGACCTTTCAGTCCGCAGACCGACGCTCTACCACTGAGCCAAATCGGTTTCAGCTAAAGTACATAGAGCTTTCCCTAATCAACTGAAACTGTTTGGTTACCTTAAAACAGTTCCTATTGAAAAAGGATAAATGCTAAATTAAATTCAGATTTTCATAGAATTGCTGTGTTAACCGTATTCTTTTTTTAAATCCTGAGCCGAGGATATTTTTTTCCATTGATTTCTAAAAAGAGTGAAGGGGGGAGTAGGAGGAGGAGAGATACACACACAGACATGAGAGAGAGGGAAACATCAATGTGAGAGAGACACATAAATCGGTTGCCTCCCCCACACCCCTTACCATGGCTGGGGAACCTGCAACCAAGGTATGTGTCTTTGACTAGGAATTGTACCCAACACCCTGTAGTCCACAAGCTGGCACTCTAACCACTGAGTACACTGGCCAGAACAACTATATTCTTTTTGATGCTCAAATTGTTAGTTTTGGCTTCTGGCTGCCTTTTTGAATTGCCTCTATTCTTAGCCTTTTGATCTTTTAATGATCCCTTAATACTCTAAGCATGGAGCTAGTCATGATTCTGTTTTTCCAAAGATCCCTGGATGATACTAGAAATGGCATTCATACTGGGTGACATTGTTTCTAGGCCCATTCTGTGAACTGATAGAAAATACATATTTTTCAAATCAATTGTATATTGATACTAGAGGCTTGATACACAAAATTCATGCACGGGGTTGGGGGGTTCCCTCAGCCCGGCCTGTACACTCGCAACCCAGGACATCCCTCTCGCAATCTGGGACCCCTGGCTTCTAACTGCTCACCTGCCTGATGCCCCTAACTGCTCGCCTGCCTGGATGATCACCCCTAACCACCTCTGCTTCAGCTCCCAAACCCAGGACCCAGGCTTGCCTCCTCTGTTTGGCTGCAGGCAACCGGGATCTGGGCTTCCCTCCTTCTCTGGCCAGCCATAGGCACCCAGGACCATGGTTATGGGCAGCTTCCCTTCCCCGCTTATTACCCTTTTATTAGTATAGGTTTTCAATTAAACTATAACAGTATTTTTATTTAATTTTATAAGCTTGGGTTTTTTTCTCTTGTGCTTTATTCCTTACAGCAGTAATTCTTAAACTGCAAATTCATCAGAATCACCTAGACTGCTTGATAAACTTGAGCCTCACCCCTAGAGTTTCCAATTGAGATAAAATCTAAGAATTTGCATATCTAAGTTCTCAGGTGATTTTTGAGGCTGCTGGTCCAGACAAGATTTTGAGAACCACCTTCTTAAACATGGTTTTCTTAGAGTAAAGGAGTTGAGCCAAATTACAGATAATTTAGGAAAAATAGCCATTTCTTACTTTTAAAAAAATGTATATATTCTTTGTTTTAGAGTGGGAGGAAGGGGAAGAGAGAGGGAGACATTGATTGACTGCCTCCTGCATACCTGCTACTGGGAATCAAGCATAGGCATGTGCCTTGACCCCAAATTGAGCCTGAGACCTTTTGGTATGTGGGAGGACCCTCAACCAACTGAGCCACACTGGCCAAGGCAAAATAGTCATTTCTTCTGAAAATAGGACTTTGCATATTTGAGGGTAGAATGGGAAAAATAAAAAAAAATCAAAATAGTCATGGAGCAGGAGGTCTGTCTGGAAGGTGCCTCAAGCTTTGAGGAATTACTTTTAGAAAGAGGGGTGATATAAAGAGTAGGACATATAAGAGGCCAATATTTAACTTGGCAGGAGCTTTTACTCGTCTGTCTCACTCATGAGAATGTAAACGAAGGAAGGGTACTTTGGAACAATGTTAATTCATTGCTAATAAGTTTTTTCTTGATTTGTTCCTAATAAGTTTCACTAAAATTTTACCTTTGTCATCTAAAAATGAAAAGGGTTGCAGGGAGATATGATTTCACTATAGTTACTTTTTAAGTTTTTTTAGGGTTTGGGGAGATGGTAAGTGGGAGGTTGGGCTGAAAAGCATCATTATACACATTGTTCTTTGCTGAAATAAAATGCCACTCTCTGAGTTATTGAGATATTTGGAGCCATTTTTCCAAAAGCTTGGTAACTCCAGAATGCTCTTACTCTGTTTCTCATTTGTCTGCTTCCTAACTGATATGCTACATAGGCAGGTGATAAAGGCTTGTTCTATGCATTCCCGTATTTAAAAACCTGCTGCAAGTATTTGAAATTGTTGGAAGTCTGTGATCACCACTTCACATCTGCTTAGTAACAGCAATATTCACACAGATGGCTATTAGATTCTAAAGTACTTTTTGAATTCTCAAATTATATTCAGCATATTATTTAGTTTTTTAATTGCTTGGAAATTGGTCAGTTGTATAAAGGCAGTAGTTCTTAGTCTAATCTTTTTGAAAATCTGATTAAAGTTGTAGGCTATCTTCATCAGAAAAATGCTTCTATGCTCAGTTTTAGATAAGTTGAATCCCTTAAATAACATTACTAACATCTAATAAATGTGGGTTTTCATGTGACATGTAGACTTAGTCTTAATATTTGAATCATTAGCACTTAAGCAGATTTTTAAAAAGGATTTTTAGTTTCTAAATATGCTTAATAAAAATCTATTATGTATTTTTAAAATATAGGCATGGTCTAGTAATTTTGGAAAATAAAAATTAATATCTTTTAGGCACATTATATTTTTCATACCCTTGTTCATGAAATGCTTACAAATGAACCCCATACTTTGGTGAAACATCTTTTTCCAGTCCTTTATTTAAAAACAAACAAACAAACAAAAAAACCTGGAAAAATAATTATTTATTCCACAAAGAGAGCTTATCTTCCTAATTTGAAAAGTGCTCCTACAAAATAAAAAGCCACAATGGTCAGAGAGAATTAAGCCCTTCTTTTTTTTTTAAAGAAACTTAAAGATGATTCTTCCTGAAAGTAGAAGAAACTCACTACCAATTTATTTTTACTTGATAATCCCCAGTAAAACTCTTAACATAAGATATAAATAGAGAAAAGGAAAAGCATAATGTTTACCAGTATGTGTGTAGGATGGTCTTAGTATTGATATCCTATCATAATTTTCTACTGCTTATTCCAGGTAATTCTATGAAATTGCCAACATTATGTCAATTGCATGGCTGCATTTGTAAATACTGTCTTTAATCTTGTAATCAATATAAATATTTTTGAGCTGCACATTTCATACATTTTACACTATTTCCAAAGTGTTTACTTATGCACGCATAATCATGTTAAATTGTAGAATTCAAGATTCTGCATGGTGGCTTCTATGTTACAGTAACTAAGATTGTATCTTTTCCCACCCTAATTGCAAAAATTTTGTTTTAATTCAGTTAACTTTTGAAGATTAGTTAAAATACCTAAACTAGATAAGAGGCATTTATTACTAGATGGCATATTTTTGCATGTATGTTTGTTTTTTGAACTTAATTGTAAAGTTGAAGCGAAATGCTTTTTTTAAATGTCTTTTGAATCTAGCATATCTATAATAGGCAAATTCAAACTTTCTCTTTTCTTGCAGATAAAGCTTCACCAAGAAGGTTGCCCAGGAAGCGGGCACAGAAGAGATCAGTGGGATCTGATGAGTAAATGTTCCTTTGTGCAACAATACAGTCTTTACTTAACCTGCCCTAATGTTTTTCGGCCTGATGGGAATTAGTGCAGAGAAGCCATGTCACCATAGAAGCAACTACTACTTGTGTGTGGACTGAGCAATCAGAGTCTATGGCGATAATATTTTTGAACGTGCACTGCATTCATTTTTCTAAAGTAACAAATTTGTTTTTTTTTAACCATTAAAATCTATGTGTGTGTGTGTGTGTGTGTGTGTGTGTGTGTGTGTGTGTGTATGTGAGCAGTTGGTCTTACCAGAATCATCATTGAACTCCCTGAAGCATGCCTTTAGAATACTGAATATATTAATTGCCTTTCTTGTTGACATTTTCAATACATATTTTCTCCCCGAAGTCCATATTTATCTAATATTATAGATGTCCTATGTTGGACTATTTAAAGAAAATAACTTGTTTCGTCCCTAGGATCCCAGTTGATAGAACAAATTAGCATTTGGTTGTCATCATTGCTGTTTTACAACTAGTATTCTAAAGGCACAAGCAGGAGCAGCGGCTTTTTAGCAATAGAGTTATTTTGGTATTTTGCTGCTGTTTACTATAATATGCACCTTCAGAACACTGCCCAAATGAGTTCAAGGGATCTCTAGCAAAAAAATTGTGAAACATGAAAATTCTGCTGATTTTGGTGTATAAAATCCACCTCACTCTCTTTTTTATCAGAAAGAAAATGGTGTCCTTGTGGAAAATGAATTGTTATCTTAATCATTATGGTTCTATTTCTTACCCAAAGAGTAGCTTTGGAATGATTTTAGACCTATTTAGTTATTTTTTTGAAGAGATCATTTGTCTCTCCTTAGAAGTATTTTACTTAAGAAAAGTTGCCTTGACTACAGACTAAGCAAAAGGCCAGTTTATAAGGGCAGAGATATATTTCAATTAATTCTAATTTAAGAAAATTTAGTTGGGTATTTTTTAGATGGTTAATCAATTGTTTTTTGTATACTCTTTTGGGGATTTTGGTTGATACAACCTTTTTTTTTTTTTTTTTTTTTTTTTTTTTTTTTTTTTTTTTAGTTTATCTGAAGAATTCCAAACTTTAAGCACTCAGTATCTAAAAACCAAAATGAAATCGGAATTTATAAAATTCACTTAGAGAGTTACTCTTGCCCTAGGTATTAAATTAAGTTTGGCATTATTGTCAGACTGGATAAAGGGTAATGTATAATAAAATGAACAAATAAGAAGCTTTTCCCCTCTATCGTTAAGCCATATTCTTCCATGTATATTTTGTAAGGAAATGGTATGTGAAATTTTAGTGGCTGTTCAATTCCTGATTGTCTTCATTATAATGAACTGACCACTCCCCACCTGTACCCATGCCCACACAAAACAATGAAAAGAGACAAAACACACACATAAAATCTTTCCAAGTTGTTTTAACTATTTAAACATCGGAGCCAAAGTCAATGACAAAATAGAAGTCATTGTATAGTTATTAATCATGTTACAAGTAGGGGTGAAGGTTGGCATTGCTGCACTATAAACTTCTATACCTATAATATAAAGTGTTTTAAGTTTTTAATTGGGCTAAATAATCAGTTTATTTTGAAAAAACTATGAACGTTAAGAGACTGCATGGTTTTTTTGTTAAATGTAATAAGGAGGCCCTTCCATCTTCTCAAGGAATGTATTCCCAGATATTTTTGTGAGTGTCCCAAGTTTGTGAAACTATTAGAACATAATGCAGTGAGGTGATTACAGAATTTAACTGACCTCTAGAGAATTTTATCAACACCTGGTAATGCTGAGACAGTGGCAAAGCCACACTGACTGCCAGGTGCCATCCCTTCTAACCTCTAAATAATTTGCCTTACATACTAGCCTCTCCATTTCTGAGGTTCAGGTTCGTACCTCAGAAATTATTTGCCATGTTTTATTTTATTTTTTTTAGCATAGGAACACTTGAAAACTCAGGTGCTGGGGGTGGGGGGGTCTCTCTCTAGTATCAGTAAGTGTTTAGCAGGAACTAACTCTGTAATAAATGGAATTCAATTCCACACATGGTTTGTTCAAGCACACTTAATAGTCTATTTTTTAAATGTAAATATTTGGATGAAGTTTTTGTTTGTTTTGAAATATTCATTTGCTACATTAACCATGGTTTCAGAGTTTACCATTTAAACAATTTGGTTTCAGAATCTGTAAAATGAACTAAGAATCTTGTGTATCAATTCAGATATGTGAGAATATATGTTTATAAAGCGTGGATCTTGCTTTGGTTGTATAGCTTCATCATTCATTTCATGGATATCAAATAGCAAATGACTTTTAAAACTATTCCTGCCCTCTAAGGTGTTGGAGTGGGGAAGGGAAATGGGACCTCCCAGGTAGAAACCTGAGGAAAACAGACATCACAAGGAAAGAAGCCTTGACTTAAATTTTAGTGATGTTTTTCATTTAATTTAATATTTTTAAAATATATTTTATTGATTCTCTACTGAGAGGAAAGGAGAAGGTTAGGGAGTTAGAAACATCGATCAGCTGCCTCCTGCACATCACACAGTGGGGATGTGCCCGCAACTAAGGTACATGCCCCCAACCAGAATCGAACCTCGGACCCCTCAGTCCGTAGGCCAACACTCTTACATACCAGTGAGCCAAACTAGTCAGAGCTGATGTTTTAATTTTAAATAAGCTTCAGATCATAGTGACTTTGATAGGAAAAGACAAATTTAGATTTTAAATGTATATATTTAAAAGCCACTGTCTTAAAGGTGTATTTGCAATGCATCAGCCTGTAATTGTATTTTGGCTCTGTTCGGGAGAAGTAAGTGGTGGTAATGTGATGTCAAAACTTGGACTTAAGGACTTGAGTTATTTTGGAGCTACAGTAGTAGATAAATGTAATATAATATGCAAGGCTCTTAAAGCATTTATCTTTTGTGATACAATGATATCTATACCCTTGGTATGAAGAAAAACTTACTTGTTTAGTATATTTAAATAATGTGATTTTTCTTTTTTTAATCATGAACTCAGCACTATGCATCATCTCTCATCAGGTTTTGATAGGTTACACCCTTGATTTTTCAGTATTTCCGAAACCAGTTTGGGTCAGTGGATAGAGTGTGGGCTTGTGGACTGAAAGGTCCCAGGTTCTATTCCGGTCAAGGCCATGTACCTTGGTTGTGGGCACATCCCCAGTAGGTGTGCAGGAAGCAGTGATCGATGTTTCTTTCTCATCGATGTTTCTAACTTTCTATCCTTGTCCTTCCTCTCTATAAAAAACAATCAATAAAATATATTTTTTAAAAATTAGATGTTAGGTTAAATTTTAAAACACTTTCTGCCCTAGCCAGTTTGGCTCAGTGGATAGAGAGCATCAGCCTGCGGGTTAAAGGGTCCTGGGTTCAATTCTGGTCAAGGGCATGTACCTCAGTTGCAGGCTCGCTCCTCCCCAGCTGCGTCCTTCTTGAGGCTTGTGCAGGAGGCAGCCAATTAATGTGTTTCTCTCACATTGATATTTCTCCCTGTCTTTCCCTCTCTCTTCCACTCCGGAAATCAATGGGAAGATATTCTCAGATGAGAATTAAAAAAGAACAACAAAAGAAATACTTCCTGATACACTTGAAATAGCCACAGTTTGGGAGAGCATCATTTATAGTTGTAAAATGAATAAATTTATTCTGATTTTATTAAGTAACTAGAACCCTTGTGCATGAATTCTTGCACGGGTGGGGTCTGGCCAGCCTGTCCCAATGGGGGTCCATTGGGCTGGGCCAGTGGGGGGGAATGGCCTCAGATGGTTGGCCGGCTCGCCCTGCCCCAATCAGGGCCCAGATCAAACTGGTTGGCTGCTGCAGTGTGCGTCATAACTACCAGTTCTGGTCGTTCCACATTCTGGTCACTGGGCTTTTATATAGAGAGATCCTACTTTGAATTAGATCTTCAGCTTAGTGAGGAGCAAGGTGCAGTGCTATGGTATAGGTACCGTTTAGCTGCCTTTTTTTTTTTTTTTTTTTTTTTTTTTAAGACAGAAAGGAGCTAATTTATTAAACATCAGTCATGCACTGTTCTCTGTTGGGACATTCATCTCATAAACCTTCACAACAGTTCACTGAAGCAAGCTGATAACTGTTCTCATTTTACAGGTGGAAAAACCAAAATCAGTTTGAGTAGCTTGCTTGAGGTTACACACTGAATATGGATTCAGAGCTGTCTTATTCTAAAACACATGTTCTTTACCCTTTACTGTGTTTCAGAAGGAAATTTTATAAAACCAAGCATTTGGGCAGCTTAAAATACTTGGTTTTCCAGAGTTCAGCAATAAGTTCAAATAACCCCAGTGTGGAATATACTATATATACACACTTGTTGTACTGTACAGTAGTGCACGAGTGCCACTCATCTCCAGAACAAACCTCAGAGTCTTCTGAGCTGTTATAAATTGATTTGTCTGTTAATGTGGTATGTACGTATAATTTTTTTTTAATTTGATACTGCATTTTATATGATAATTTAGTTTTCCACATATGCCCTACTTAATCTCTGACAATGATATCTCTTTAAATGTCCCCTTGATTTAAAAAAAATAGCCTTTAAAAATATTTTCATCAAAATAGATTTTCTAGTTTGATTGTATTTTCAAGTTGTAAAGGGTTGAAAGATACATCCTCATATTAGAGATGAGAGGGGAGTAAGTGTTGGGTTATACAACCAATTATAGAACTGGGATTACAGGGTAAGTTCATATATTACAACTGCAGATGATATGACGAGGGCTTTTCTTATTCTCCTGCTGTTCCTTATATAGATTTCTGTGTGGTATCCATGACAACCTATCATCTTGTTGACATGTTGATCACCTGCTGGGCTGTGAGCTTATATCTTTGCTTTTTATTCCCAGGTTCTAGTTCATGATTTTCAGGTGGAAACCTGTCATAAGGTGTTCAAAGAAATAAAATGTGGGCCAAGTTTTCACAAGCCACATTTCCATGGCATTGTGTAGAGAA